ACACACACACACACACACACACACACACACACACACACACACACACATTCTCACACACCCACAACAAAATACTTGCCCTCTAGTTTTGAATTTTATTTATATTTATAATTTTTTGATTTGTATAAACCAAATTTTGAGTATCTTTCTCTCAGCAATTATTCGTGACGCAGTCAATGTTTTATTGATACTTTATCCGTAGGCGGAGGCCTGGAGACCTATAGCATAGGGTATCCTAGTTTAGGCTCCAGCCTTCACAGACAACAAATGTTTTATTACTTAAGAATGTTTAATTATGGTTGAAATTGTGTGTGAAGGAAATAAATTTATTATTATTATTATGGTGGAAACAAGATATTTATACCATTGTGCGCGGATAGACTCCAAAGCAAAGAATCAAATATGAGAAGACCTGAATGTGGAAAATATGAAAGAGCGATCAATGGCCTGCAAAAAGTAATATATAGAGGGGATATTTGTGCACTTTTATGATACACCCTGGCCAATTTCCGCTGGATAAAAAATCTTCGAAATTCAAATAAAGAAGATACAAACTTCAAGGTATTCTATCACTGAAACTATTAGAGATAGGTAGGAGGTGCTGGAAGGAACGTTATAGAGGGTAATAGTGGTCAACTGCCTGTGTGTGCAACAAAAAAAATTCATGATAGCGAATTTAAAATGGCGGTTGAAGACAAATTTGCTTCGAACTGGCCGAAAATTGGCAGCATATTTTGGGGTTAAAAAGTTTTTTTTTTCGCCATTATTTAATATGGCTGCCATATAAGCGTTTCTGAAAGAGACCTGCTCTGATTCAGCTGAAAATGGGCATGTGGAGGCCTCTAGAAGTATCAGATAATAATTTGTGGTCAAAATTGGCTTTTCGCCATTTTCAAATATGCCAACAAGCGTTTGTTTGCGGCATATTTGAGTTAGTTCTCTAGGAGTGCTGAGTGCTAGATAATAATTTGTAATCAACATTAGTTTTTCGCCATTTTTCAATATGGCCATCATACTAGCGTTTTTTGGCGGCAGGTAAAAATTTGCTCTAATTGGACTGTCTCTATGGGAATTTAATAATAATTTGCGGTCAAAATTTACTTTTTCCCATTTGTCAACATGGCCGCCATCAAAGAGCCATGTTATTTTTTTAAAACAAAGTCAAGTGCCGAGTTTCAGCGGAGGGCGAAGTCCGAAGCGTCCATACGCCACCCTACGTAGGCAGTATAAGGAAGCTCTATTACGAGTACAAGATCTCACAATTGTTCGAAATGTAAGGCACACTTCCCGATCTAGTGGAAATGAGATACATATAGCATTGTTGTATCTCAACAGTCTCTCTGCTAGATTCTTTTTGCTTGGAAGCTATGCCAAAGTGAAGTGTTTAGGGGAAAAAATTACCAGGCAATGACACCAAATTTCTTTTCTCAAATTAAGGAACACCCTGTACTATGAATACCAATTTGGGTGTAATTTGTGGTTGTCTATGTGAGTGTCCATGGTATCCGCGACACAGGGTATCCCTAGTGCGGGGCTATGTTGAGTGTGTGCGTTGTTATTATTATTATAACGATATCTCTGAGGGCAACTAACCGCTGTACCACCGAAGTGCACAAGCACGCCCCGTAATCTAAGGCCAAACACGCGCCGTAGGCCGAGCCCGACCCCACCGTAGGTGGGGTACAGGGCTCGTTTTCTGTGCGAGAATAGCAGTCTTGCTCTTTACGTTGCTCTCGGCAAATCGCGCCCTGTCGTCCTAGCCCTACAGGTTGTCTATCCAACTTGGTGCATTTTATTTTAAATTGTATTTATTCTCTTTGTTAACGCCAAATAAACACAAATTGTTACAGCTCTTAACTGTGCCCGGCTGTTGACCCGTATAATTCCATACATGCTGGAAGACCCGGAATGGCATGGATTCTTCTGGTCATCCCTGCCTGCTGCAGCAGAAAATGAGTCCATACCTCTAGCACAATCACTTGTGAATGCTGTTTGTGTGAGTACACTGTTTATTTTTTATTTATTTTTTGTGCTAGGCATGACTGCGGAGAAAGAGACCTCCCATTTTACCTCCACATTTTGTCATTTTCTGTCAGCAGAATTGAGTGCATTCGCCTATCTCTTTGTAAGCCTGCCCTGTTTCCGCTTCCCAACCTCTCTTTTTTATAATAATAGGAATGCATGGACAAATTGACCCCTGGTTTACTGTAATCAATAGTCTTTACTTAAAATCTATACACGATGACAATAACACTGCAGGCTTTGGGAGAAACATAAATTTAAACGTACGTAATTTAGGTCCAGTAAGGGAATGATTTTTCCTACACTATAATAATAATAAGTATTAAGAATGGTGCAGGAAAAGATAAGAGCATGCTGAAGACAATAGATAACCCAAGAGGACAGATGTTTGAGTATCTGATACATAACAATATAGTATAGTGTAAAGTAATAAGGAAGATCGAAGCAAAGACAGATTGAGGGAGACCGAGACTAAATTATTTAGATCTGACAAGGAATAAAGTTAAGACGAGTCACTGGAGGAGAGTAGGCTGTTCTTTTTTTCGATATGTTAATTTACAGCGCGCGGATTGCAGGACGCGAGGGGCGACCTCCCTCCTTAAATCTAAGCTAGCTTTGGCATACCTCTCCTTAATGTTGTGTCGTACCAGAAAATATTTAGGGTGTTGCGAGCTCTTAAATAATAAGATAATTTTATTCTTTATGGACATTATATTGATCCCTCTGTGGGAAATATATCCAATTGGAATTGTCACATTTCATCCAAACAATACAAGCATAATTTCAATTAATAAATAAAATAAATAAAAAATAAAAATCATTTATTTCAGGCCGTAAGCCCATAAAAAAAACAGCACAAAAATAAAATTAAAAAATAAAAGAAAAGGGGTATTAGTAACACAACACATCTTAAAACTATGTTAGTACAAAATTGACACAATACAATTAATATATACATATGTTAGGAATCACTACCTACTTTATATGTCCAGTAGTGATCCCTAACATGAAATTCAGCATTGCGCTATCAATGCGACACGCAAACATCTCCAGGATGCCGCTGCCACCACCATGCACTCTTTTCAGCAGAGACGTCACTTTTTTGCGTCTAATTGCGTAAAAGTCGTCAGTCCGCGCTTCAGCGAACATGCCGGACGCGCTGCAACGCCGTGGTAGTCCCAACAACATCCTGAAGATGTTGTTGTATTGCACTCTCAGAGTATTATATGTACTCTGGGTATACCTGACCCATAGACCACTCGTGTACATGGATTGGCAAAAAGCTTAATAAAGTTTCTATTTCTATTAAATATTGAAATCTCTCCACAGGATCTCCTATTCTGTCCTGACTTCACAGTAACGAGCACCAAACGATCGGGCCCTGTGAGTTATATCTTTACAGATAAGTCTTTGTTGATTCATTTATCGTATTGATTTATAGATAAAACTATAATCTACCTTATAGAACTTCATTATTGTATCATGAGCTTTGCATAAGTCTGCAATCATTATAATGTATTACATTGTTCGTTATAGTCTATGGATATCTCGTAAGACCGGATGGTCTTGTTATCTCATGACATTTTAACAAAATTATTCCTATTATTTAGTTTCGTTAGTGACTGAAATCAGTATGGACTTATAGATAAAGTAAATAACTATAACGTTATGTAGATAAAGAGTATGTAAATCGTGAAGCAGTAGAGTTCCTTGTGAAAGAGTTCCTCCCGGGAAGTACTGCCACCTTACCTATTTCTGCTGCCAAGCAGTAATGTGAGCTTTACTGCATTCCGGTTTCTATGGGCTGGCGAAATTACAGGCACATGGGATTTGTCAGCTTGTGTCGTGAGGTCACTGGCACCGCAGTGACCTTCAGATCTTTGCGATTTAATGCCAAATACATATTTAAAAATTAAAGGGACAATAATAATTTCATTTTTTTGAGTAAGAACTGTTATTGTCCAGAATTAATTCACAAAAAGATTGTCTTATTTTGAGTTAAGTAGATATCTTTTGATTGTTTTTCACAATATTCTAACGACGACTTGTATTGACTTTGAATTGGAAGGGTAAGGGTGCTGGTGCAAATACAGGCACATGGGACTTGTCAACTTATGTCTGAGGGTGACGGGCGCAGTGGCAGTGCCCCTCAGATCTTTGCGATTTAAAGCTCTGAGTGGCACTGCAAATGTTATGGACAGGCGTGTCGCTAACCACCAGGCCCACGACTTGTTCGTCCCGTCACATGGTAACATTAATAAAAAAAGTTCAATATGGAAAAAAAAACAGGAGGACGCTGAAAAACAGCACTATTCTGATGTATCGTCATTTTCATTAAAAATAGAAATCAGAGTAGCGCATAGTTTTATACATATATGATGTGGTTTTCTATATACATTATATGTATATGTATGTGTGTGTGTTTGATGAATAAAGTCCTATTATTTAATTTAATAATTTAATTTTAATTGCAGTTATACTCTTGTAGTACCAAAGACAATTTTTTTGTACTATAAAAAAAACGTTAACAGGAACGTGCTGAAGAGCTGTCTTCCTTGGACAGTTGCGAATATATCTGGGCGGGCGGCGTCGGGTTCGCCCGTTCCCCACCACGCGTGGCAACGCACGACGCTGCCCGGACCGATCTGCTGCGGTTGCTACTGGCCGCAGCAAGCGAGACCATCTATGTACCTCCACAACAGGCGCATTCGCATCATAATAAGTGGATTGCGTGAGTATGATTACAAACATATAGGTTTGGACTCACCGCTCACTTAAGCAAGATAAAAAAATTTCAACGAAAAAAAAATACATAGGGTATTTTTTATATCAACTTAACAAACATCACGAAGAAAAAAGTTATATACGTATGTGTAGTGTAGTTTATACAGGTTGGAAATTTGTAATGCCACTTGGAAGGAAAGTACGTTAAATACTAGAGATAGAAATTGTTACTTAAAGGAAACACTAATTTATTTTTAAAAAGAAATAATACTGCATTCAAAGATTTTCGATAATTGCTAGCCACACGCGAGAATCGAACCCGCTAAAATCTTTAAAAAATGCACCCTGTACTTTTATTAAATCAATCGATAGGGTCAATTATGAGGATGAAATCTCTCTTACAAACCATGAAATCTGGAGTTATAAATTCAATGGGTCAAGGTCCGTCAGATTACTTGTTAATTATCGTTGACGTCATTTATCCATTAAAATGACGAAGTACTATTTAGATAAGAAGATTGCAATTTGCACATGTTTGTATTGCAGACCCTTGGTCAGTGGCATGCGGTAATTTAAATATGGAATGTTTCATTTGAAAATGGATTGTCTTTTGTTATTTCCATTTGATTGTTTTTACATATCCTTTCTAAGTACTGATAGTTTTTCTATAAATAAATAAATTTCATATTTGTCTCATCGTAAAAATGGCATATCAAGAACAATTTGATTTAATGGAAGCTTATTGTTTAAATAACAAAAATGTGAATTTAGCTCTGCGGTGGTATGAAGAGAGATATCGGGATCGACAAGCACCAACTCGATTCGTTCTGAAAAGAATGGTAAATAATTTAAAAAATACGGGTAGCTACGAAAAGCGACGGCAAACTCCTCAACAGAATTATTCCGATCTTAATGTTTTACATAATATAATAATAATAATGTTAACATACTTCGAAGCATTTCCAAAGGCTTCAAGCAGAGGTGCTGCAGAAGATATTGGAACAAAAAAGTATAAGTATAAATGTTATCGTGACGGCCGGTTGGTGCAAAAATTGCATCCTAGGGATTGTGAGAGACTGCTTCAATTTTGTCAAAACATGCTAAGAGAAGTTGACCGTAACCCGAATTTTTTGAGTAACATTGTATGGTCTGACGAAACCAACTTCAGTAATAACGGCATGTACACCCGCCGCAATAACCATTATTGGTCTCGAGTGAATCCTGTTCGTGTTCATGAAACTAACAATCAAGTAAGATTCTCTTTCAACGTTTCGTGCGGAATTATGAGAAATATGGTTGTGTTAGTCCACGTGTACGAAGGTCATTTGAACACTGTCAAGTATCTTGAAATACTCGATCTCTTAATAAATGAGTTCAATGTTTTATCCGAGGAAGAGCGAAATCGAATAATTCTGCAGCAAGACGGCGCTCCAGCCCATAACAGCAGAGTCACTACTGCCTACATTAGTAACCATTTTAATACCTGGATGGGTACAAACGGCACAATCAGATGGCCTGCGAGATCACCAGATCTCACCCCTTTAGATTTTTTTTGTGGGGATATGTTAAAAATCAAATTGACCTTAAATCCTATGCGAGTGTAAACGAGTTGAAGGCTGAGGTTCAGAATACGATTTGTAATACAATTCATCACAACACGTTATTAAAAGTTCCTCAAAATGAATTCGTTAAAAGATTAAATATGTGTATCCAAGAAAATGGAGCTCATTTCGAGCAACTAATTAGATTACCATTTTTTTCGTTTTATTAAAATACGTTAACATTTCATGGTATTTTTTTTCATTTAATAAACCAATTTTGTGAGCGAGATTTTATTCTTATAATTAACCCTATCGATCGAGTGCAGGGTGCATTTTTTTCAGATTCGATTCCCGGGTGTTGCTAGAAATTTTGCAGTAATATATAATGCAGTAATATAACGCATAATCCTTTATGTAAAAATTTCTATCTCCAGTATTTAGAGCACTTTCCCTCCAGGTGGCATTACAAATTGCCACCCGGTATAGATAATTCAGATTTTTTTCAAATGAGGTAGCACACTCTGGACAGCATCAACGCCCCCCAGTTGCTTCCGACGCCCCTACCCTAGGACCATTATGCGCCCACTGGGGGGCGATAGGGAGCACTTTGGAAACTGTTTTAGTACCTTTTGGGACAATCGCAAACTGACTCGTAAGACTGCTGCTAAACGAACTGCGTGCGCGAAGTCCGCATAACTTCGAGATGAACCGCATGACAGTCGAGATCCACTGCATGCAGTCGACATTAACTGCAGATAGTTATCGCCGAGCGTCTAGTTCAAGAGCTCAGTGTAAAAGTGTTGACGTCGTGATGGAAGTACGGACGATACTTCTATTACGCCGCCGGCGTAATTGAAGCCAAAAACCAAAGTGTGCTGCGTGGATAGACCCTTTGTTCCTTCTTAGATCCTTATTGTTATGTTGCTATAGAGAAGGTGATTTTAAGGTTCTGTACCCGAAATTAAGACGAGATGAAAACAAATTTTACAACTACTTTAGAATGTCGATTGCCACTTTTGATAAATAATACAAAATAATAATATACGCACAGAGATGGGCGGTGGTTTAAATCCAATCAACCTGCTGAAGTTTAACCGAATTTTTATTCAAAGCGGTTTTAACCCATTTCGGCAAATACGGAATTTGATATAATTCCGTACTTATTACAAATTTCGATGTAAAAACACAACTCTACACAATTCCCACCTTAGAAACCTAAGCTAAGCTAAGCAAACCTAACCTGCTAAGGACTCGCATTACAATTCGATTTTTATGAAGATCGAATCCAGTGCATACGATCTAACGATTTTTTGTATCGGTTTCTTTTAATACAATTTTCAATCGAATAGATTGAATAGGTAGAAAGGCAAATCGAATCGTCTATATCCGAAAGCAATAAACATTTTGTAATAATGCCATTAAATTTTATCAAAACTGGATTTACAACGAATATTTAGTGGTAAAGAGTTTTTACCCTCGATTTCGGGCGGTAATGGGTTTTAGACCCGATTTGAAACCCGGGGGTACCAAAGAAAATAACGTATCCTCGTAAGAATGTCAATTACAACTGGATAGATAGCAACAACTGCCTCCGTGGCCGAACGGTTACCATGCCGGACTGCCACGCTGAGGTTCCAGGTTCGATTCCCGGGCCGGGAGAAATAGTTGTATGGCCTACAATTATTTCTCTCGTGAGTTTGGGTGTAATTTGTGGTTGTCTATGTGTGTGTCCATGGCACCCGCGACACAGGGTTTCCCTAGTGCGGGGCTATGTTGAGTGTTGTGCGTTATTATTATTATTAACTATAGTTCACATCGACGCTTGAAGTCTCAACTGCATACAATTGAGTTTGGACTGCCTGCAGTTAATGCGTGAAGTCAGTATCAACTTCATGCAGTCGAGATGTCGGCTACATGAAGTTGATTACTTAACGGTTTTATTACACTATTGTAATAGAAAGGATTAGTTATGAAACTAGTTCCAAGCCATAACATCCATCGGTGCAAAAGTTACATCAGTCATAACCTTAGAATAATGACGCATAGAAACCTAGTCCGCACAGGCTAAGTGAGACAAATTGAAGCGCGCCCAAAGGGCCTACACGAGCGGGCGGGCCTTCAGTGCTCAAGGTCAACTTGCACCGCGAACAGATCAAGAATTTTAGCTAAAAATGACGAAACGTGCGGTAAATGAGTGTAAAAATACGTCAGACAAACATAAAATAGATACTAACATCACATTCCACAAGGAAGTAACGCGTTTCAACTTGTATTTTTATATAAATATTCACAAAAACCGAAAATTAACCTACTACTACAACTAGCCTACATGAATTTGATTTTTGCCTCACTTGTGACAGTTCGTTTGATATGAAACTATCATTCTTTGCGTTATTATTCTAAGGTCATAACAATAAGGAACCTTTTTGCAGGTACCTGACTAGCCCTGAAAATCGGCACGCACTGCCTCTGTTCACGTCACTTCTCAACACAGTCTGCTCGTACGATCCAGTCGGTCTCGGCTTGCCATATAATCATCTCCTGTTTTCTGACACTCTCGAGCCTCTAGTCGAGGTAAATCCAAAGTAATACTGTTGTAAAATACGGTAGATAATAAATATAGTGAGAAACTTGTGAGAAACTTGTGAGAAATTTTTATTGAAGTGAGACTCGTAATGTCGTTCTATAAATGAAAAATTAATATTTTTACATTTACATTGCCAGTAAGAAAACTATAATTGTAACTTGTTTATTAAAAAGTGGAATCACGTCTATTTGCAGTTACCGGAAAGTGCGCGAAACCGAATTCATACCCTAGTTTGCCACCCTTAGAGGTGGAATATTTTCTTAAAATTTAAATGAGACCTAAGATACCCTCTTTTCAACAATACATCATACAAATCGGTTCACAAATGAGTAATCACGTTACATGCAAAATTTAATATTTTAATTTTTTATAATGTTTTTTAAGAATTTCATGTTTTTTATTCTTAAATATAAAATATATATTTTTGTTTTTTTCAAAAAATAAAAAAACATTTTTTTTTGTGTGTATGTACGCCATTTGTGATCCGATTTCAATGATTTTTTTTAATGGAAAGAGTGTATATCCGGTATTGGTCCCATTTAAATTTGAAGAAAACATTCCACCTCTAAGGGTGGGAAGCCAGGGGATGAATCCGGTTACGTTAACCGATTTCAATGAAACTTGGCAAATGGATGTAATTCCACGAACTTTTGAGATTGGTTTTATATATAAAAAGTTACAATTATCACTAAAATGTAATTTAACTACAGGTGGCGCTGCAAATTCTCATTGTGACACTGGATCACGACACTAGCAACTCTGCCAATCAAGACTCGGACGAGGTAAGTGTTTTGTAGCAGTAGAGCTCCTTGTGATAGAGTTCGTCCAGGGAAGTACTGCCACCTCACCTATGTCTGCCGCCAAGCAGCGCTACGTGCCGGTTTTGAAGGGTAAAGATGCTGGCACACCCCGGGCACTCCATATAACGGTCGAAAGTTATTTACCTACTACTATTACATACAGCGAGTTGCTATCTGCTCACGCGCAAATGTATGCGTGACGTTGCAGGATCACCCATCACTTTCTCGTACGTGGTCAGAGCGAACATAGCGAAATTTTTAATCTGTTATCGCACACACTCAACATAGCCCCGCACTAGGGAAACCCTGTGTCGCGGGTGCCATGGACACACACATAGACAACCACAAATTACACCCAAACTCACGAGAGAAATAAATGTAGGCCATACAAATATTTCTCCCGGCCCGGGAATCGAACCCGGGGACCTCTGCGTGGCAGTCCGGTATGGTAACCGTTGGGCCACGGAGGCAGTTAGAGAGATAATTCTATTAATAGAATCCTAATAACATCGAATATATAACCAGAAATATAGACGAAATAAGGGCCATCCATCCCTGGCAACTCATCATACAAATGGGCCTTATATCACTTTTAAATATCAACTCTCGTTTGCACTGAAATCACAAATTAGAAAGCTGAAATAGTACAGCGCCAACAAATGACCTCTGTGTACGTCTCCGTATATTCCAAAAATATTCTGTATTTATTGTAATATAGATAATATCTCTAAGCCCTCCAGCTGTTTCATTCGGTGGTGCGGGACAAACAACATCTAATTACAAAACAAACGGAATCACATTTCATCGGTAATTAAATTAAATATTAAATCGTGTTAAACTGGTCGATTTGAAGTGTAACAATTGATGACACCCATCAATTGTTTTGAACTCGGGCTGGCCAATCGGAGCGCAGTTTGATTTGGCAGACGTTTTCAAACAAATTAAATGACATTTCGTCTCTATTTCTGGTTATGTACTTGATACCTAATAATTACACATGTTCATTAGGTATTTGTATCAATATAATTTAATACACCTAAAATGCTATATTTTGGACATGTATTTTTAAATAAGGTAACCAAGGTATTTGAAATTGCGTCTCCAACTTTATCATTACTTAGTTAATAATCGGCAATTCATATTGAAAATTCGAGATCCCTTTTGTACTATATTTAATCTCATTATATTGATATAATAAATCTGTATTATATATATATTAGTCTGCACTAAATTTATGAAGAAAATAATAACTGAATGAGTCTCAGACAAGCTTTTTTACTTACCTCGTTTCACCTTTCGGAAATCGAAACAAACTCCTCTCTTTGTCCCGTTTAGGTGATGATAAACAGTCGTACACAGCCCAATTCACGACTATCGTAAATAGTAACGTACAATGATGTTATATATTAACGTTCAAGTTTCGTAATGAATAAGTGAAAAATATTCAAATATCAAAGCCGTCTTAGCGCGAAAATGGCTCACCGACAGCCTTGTTGCCGTTCAGTCAATGTGCGGGGCGTGGTGCGGTATCTAAATCTAGGGAGGGGCGGAGAGTGTCCATTATCGTTACTTTTTCGTTCTCTGGTGCTAGTGAAATTACAGACACATCGAACTTATCAACTTATATGTCAGGGTGACTGGCGCAGTGGCATTGCCCCTTGGATCTTTGCAATTTAAAGCTCTGAGTGGTACTGCAACTGTTATGAACAGGCGTGTCGCTTACCATCAGGCGCACGACTTGTTCGTCCCGTCACTTGACATTATAAAAAAAAAAGAAAAACACTTGTTCGTACCGTCACTTGGTAATATAAAAAAAAAGTTTCGACTCATCCGAAGAACAGAGTCCGATGTGATTATATAGCGCAAAGAGACTACGTAGGTTACGAGATTAATTTCGTTATTCAAACTAAAGCCTACGTAAAGGTGTTTTGAGAATTTATATTTCTTATTTCGTTTCGGAAATATAAAGTCGTACAACGGTCGGTCTGACATCCACAGCGAAGAAGAACAAACGAAATGTACTATTGTCCTAAGAACAAGTAGTCTTGCACATAGATCTTTGTTCTACGGATGAGTCGGTTTATTTATTCGCCTTAAGCAGTACGGGGTGGTTAATGAACGCTGCTTTTTGCAGCATTGCCATTTTATTTATTTACTAAATAAAATAAATAAGTGATAACCATTGTGATCAAGTTATAACGTTCGGTGTTCCAGCAAAGTCTACCTGACAACTTGTTCATAAATTACCTGTCGCGCATCCACCGTGACGAGGATTTCTACTTCATCCTGCGAGGAGTGACGCGGCTTCTCAACAATCCTCTGGCGCAGACCTACCTGCCCAATTCCGCTAAGAAGGTCATGCTGCATCAAGAGCTGCTGGTTCTCTTTTGGAAGATGTGCGACTATAATAAGGTATGTTGTTGATATACAGCATTTTCCACTCAACATAGCCCCGCACTAGGGAAACCCTGTGTCGCGGGTGCCATGGACACACACATAGACAACCATAAATTACACCCAAACTCCGAGACAAATAAATGTAGACCCTGGGACTTCTGGATGGTAACCGTCCGGTCACGGAGGCAGCTAATAGAGTAAGTAAGGTTTAAATTATAGTCTAGAGCACATCAGTATTGGCACTTTGCTGTCTGGACCGTTCTTATGACAAGGGTGTAGAGTTGCATTTGATGACTTCAAAAAAAGGAGAAGGTTCTCAATTCGGCTATATATTTTTGTTGTTGTATGTATGTTACGCGATAACTCCGGCAATTTGAATTTGGGAACCGATTTTGATGATTATTTTTTTTGTTGGAAAGAGGGTACTTCTAAGGGTGGCATACTAGGGGATGAAACCGATTTCAATAAAACTTGGCAAATTTCAGTAATTTCGCTAACTTTTGGGGTCGGTTATTTCTTTTAAATAGATATTATTTAATTATTAATACAAAGATCGAACACTCAAAAAAAAACACTCAGAAAAAATTCCTTCGATCCGGTCGGATTCGAACCGACGTCTTCTTGCATACCGTGCCAGACGCTATACCAACTAAGCCACGGAACGAATCAACGGACCTCACGACTTTTTAGTCGTAGCGCCATCTATGAGAAATCTATTACAGATTTATCACCCAGTTAGTACCTTTACAGCTACTATATACTGTATTAATTAAATATTTTTTATTGAATATGCAATAAAAAAATTTAATTAGATATTATTTATTTAATTCAGACCACATGACCCATATGACCACTGCCGTCCATTAACCAAAACGCAGCTAAGTGACAAACGGTCAAATATCCGTTTTAAATAGAAAAAAATAGAGCACAAAGTTCTCTTTTAAAAACAATTCAAATTAATTAACGAGTTCGACTTATCGAAACTTACCCTAATGATGCATAGCTGAAATAACATTAAACAATTTCAGTATTCTAAAACTGGGTTCTGGTTTTTTATGATATCTCAAAAAAATATTTTGTCACTTAGTCACGTTTTACTTATCAGACGACAGTATATAACTTAAGGACTAACATACATACATTATTGTAGATTTAGATTTAGATTTATTTTATTATCTTGTAAACTTTACATTATTATATACAATATATTTTATTACAAGAATCGTTACAAATAGTAATAAATGTTACATTTCAATAAATTACAAATATCCAGTACAAGTTTTGTACTACGTAATTTTAACATAGTCAACGTAGTTATGTAAATTAATGTAGGAACATATTAAATAATATAATAATAATTATGTCAATATAATGATTGTATGCATAAAGTTTATGTAATTTATTCATTTCTGTAAAATAATATCTATACCTAATAATCTATAAATTACAACATACATTACAAGACCATGTCCCTATATTCTTCAGTGGAATAATACGCATTATCCAACAAAAAGTCTTTCAGTCGACGATCAAATGTTTCATCATTAGGCTCATTTTTTAAGTCAACGGGTAGGTGCTCATAATAAGCCGGGCCGATTAGTCATCCGATTTACAATGTATAACAAATTTCAAATTGTTTAGAAAGTGTTAGTAAATAAATATTTCTTTTATGACTTAGATCTATTTGGGGGCGACAATGCCACAAACAGACGTACAGATACACAGACAAATGCTTCAAACTTATAACTCCCCTCTTTTTGCGTCAGTCGGTTAAAAAGTTGTTAAACAAAATGAACTTTCTAATAGCTTCTTACTCGCCTGTGTTTCAGAAATTCATGTACTACGTTCTGAAGAGCAGCGATGTCTTGGAAGTCCTGGTGCCCATATTATACCACCTCAACGACTCGAGGGCAGATCAGTGTAAGACCCTTATACCTTAATAATACTTAATAATATAAGAAAATGATATCAGCCTGTAGTAATTAACTATGGTCTCTCACTTACGGCCGTTCCCTTAGAGCATATAGGACTGGAGGCGTCATTAATATTCAGTCCCCTCTGTCAGGTACAAGCACAAAACAACTATCGCACAATAAACACTACTTTCCAATCATTGACTTACAATTATATGGACGACGGGTCTAATACAAAAACCAC